GGACACTAGTTTTGCTGACAACTGTCTGAAAGGGGGGTTTCCCTTATGTTGGAAGGATTTCCTCACTTCCTGTTGGGTTGGAGGGACAGGAAGTCTCTGGATATCACCCCAATATTGGGGAAGAAACAAAACCAACTTTTTATGACGACCTCCCCCCCCCGCAAAAAGAATTGCCCCTTGTTGCACGTCAGTCAGTCCCTCCCTCCCGGGGGGGTGTCCCCGCCTCTCAGGAATGTTCCTCTAATCCTGCAGAACAAAGAAACGTTTTCAGGTTCGGCCGTAGTCACGCTCCAAGCTGACCGTGACGCTGGGCGGAGCCACACAGAAGCTCCCAGTTCAACTCTATGGTGGTGGCCGCCGCCCTGCGTTGTGACCTGCGCTCTTTTATCTGCTTATTCCGGTGAAGTGTCGCCACTGGAGACAGCCAAGCAAATGGCAACTTCAGGAAGGTCGGCAACGAGCGCATTGCTCTTGGCACAAGCTTCCTTTTAAAAGCAGGGGAAGGTGAGCTCTGGGCGTCGGCTATAGTGAAACTACACATCCCATCATGCATCCTTCGATGAAGGTCATGTCTGCTGCTGTCGGGGGTCTTGCAATGCCTCATGGGAGCAGCAGTTGCCGGAGGGCCGCAGTTTGCCCAAGCCGCGGTTTAAAGTGACTGTCGCAAAGTGCGGTCACTGCGAAAGATGGTGGGAAATGGAAACTCCTCCCACTGCTCTGTTTGCTGTGCTCAGTGGCTCCTCCCACCTCCATGTCCTGTAATGGGGTTGATGGAAGTACGCACAGAAGGCAGTGCTGGGTCCGGGTTCCTGTGGAAACCTCCCCCCCCCGCAAAAAGAATTGCCCCTTGTTGCACGTCAGTCAGTCCCTCCCTCCCGGGGGGGTGTCCCCGCCTCTCAGGAATGTTCCTCTAATCCTGCAGAACAAAGAAACGTTTTCAGGTTCGGCCGTAGTCACGCTCCAAGCTGACCGTGACGCTGGGCGGAGCCACACAGAAGCTCCCAGTTCAACTCTATGGTGGTGGCCGCCGCCCTGCGTTGTGACCTGCGCTCTTTTATCTGCTTATTCCGGTGAAGTGTCGCCACTGGAGACAGCCAAGCAAATGGCAACTTCAGGAAGGTCGGCAACGAGCGCATTGCTCTTGGCACAAGCTTCCTTTTAAAAGCAGGGGAAGGTGAGCTCTGGGCGTCGGCTATAGTGAAACTACACATCCCATCATGCATCCTTCGATGAAGGTCATGTCTGCTGCTGTCGGGGGTCTTGCAATGCCTCATGGGAGCAGCAGTTGCCGGAGGGCCGCAGTTTGCCCAAGCCGCGGTTTAAAGTGACTGTCGCAAAGTGCGGTCACTGCGAAAGATGGTGGGAAATGGAAACTCCTCCCACTGCTCTGTTTGCTGTGCTCAGTGGCTCCTCCCACCTCCATGTCCTGTAATGGGGTTGATGGAAGTACGCACAGAAGGCAGTGCTGGGTCCGGGTTCCTGTGGAGGGGGTCATTGGACCTCTATACTGTTGGCTTGCAGCAGCTTGGCAAAGGTAAAATCTCATGAACCGGATTCCCCCCCTCGCCTCTTGTGCTGGGGACAACTTTAAAATGTTGGGTTCCCCCTTTCTCGGTGACACTGTACAAAGTCTCTAATGGGGACAGACACGGCAATACAAATTTTATGAGAGGGTCTAACCCCTTCCCCCGCTCTGTCCAAGTCTAATAAGAAGGTTTTGCCCAGAGATCCCCTTTAAATCCTCCCTGTGTGACAACGGCGGCTCCCTCCCATGGATCCAGCGGAGGAGTGAACGTAGCCACAGGAAGTGCAATTCTCAGGATCCGCCGATGCAGCTGCCGCATCTAAGGGCAGAGCGGATACAATGTTACACTTTAGCGCGCCGCCTGTGATGTGCGCTTTGCCTGCCGCGTAGGAGGTCACCAGTAGTGATGAGCAGCAGGTTCTCTTTAATGCATCATATACTCATCTATGCTTTGCTCCTCCCATCGCTCTGTCCACCCGCCGGGGGCATGGCCCGTACTTATCACCGTGCATATCTCCCCGCCTCGTGTGATTGGCTCTGTGATGTCACATGGGTGGGCGGAGTCTGCAGACCTGTGTAAGCAACCAACTGGAGTGACTCAGAAAACACAATATCTCTGCTCCTGGCGGGGCAGCAGAGGACGGATGAGTAGGGGGCGGGGGCACTGCAGACCTGACCTATGACCTCCGTATATATGGCACTCGTCCTCGGGGCGGAAATCTTTGTTTTTAGCCGATTTTTATTTATTTATTATTTACATTGTAATAAAATCTGTACAGAAATCTCTCGTGTCGTGTGGACTTTATTCTCGTCATGATTAGGGTCACATTTCGGATCAGCACTTCCTGGCAGAGGGAGTAGAAGGTCGGGGGTCTGGTACTTAAATTTAGACCAGGAGTAAGCATTCTCGGTAGGGATGCGCCGAAACATCGGATGAAAATGGCACTTTTTGGCTAAATGCCGAAAGTGCCATTTTCTGGCCGATACATCGGCGCATCCCTTCTTTCTCTCCTCCCCCGCTGGGCGCTGCTCTGTGTCCGGGGAGGAGAGAAACTGACGGCCGAGCGCAGCGGGAGGAGAGCGATGTGAGCGGCCGGCGTCTCTCCTCCCACACCACTCAGCCTCCTATCACAGTCCGGCAGAGCAGTGTGGGGGCGGAGACAGCCTGCGCTGTCACAGGAGGCGGAGCTCTCCTCCCTGCACCGCTGGCCCAGCCTCCGGTGACAGCGCGTCAGGAAGGAGAGCGGGTACAAGCCGTCAGCGATCGCTGAGTGTAGATAATTTGGGGATATGGTATTACTGTAACCTCAATTATGAATGAATGGGAAGTGACCTACATTACCTCTACATCACTTCCTGTCCATTCATGATTGTGGTTATAGTAAACATACTCTGTCCTCATTATGAAGGAACACTCAGTATAGAGGATCCCTGAAAATGAATATAGAAAAAAATTAAGTTAAATATTTTAAAACAAAAAGTTACAATAAAAACATTTTTGGTTTTCGGATGACTTTTTGTTTTTTTTTTTTAGGGGTTTTGAAATTTGGATTTCGGTGCTCCTCTAATTCTCGGGATTCCATTTGTGGTAAAACTACAAATCCCATTCTCTCTGACAGCCATGGCCCCCCCCCTAGTCTTGCAGTGGCTGGGGGGATTTGTAGTTCCACCACAGTTGGAGTGCTGAGGCCGCCCACCTCTGGATTTTACCCCCCTGCAATCTCTCTTATATGGAAGGTCGGCTTTACAAGTAGCCGGCGTGGTCACTTTCATTTCCTGTTGTGGTGTCCGGGAAGTGTGCACGTGACGGTGATAAAGTCATTAGGGGAAATGGAGCCTCGATTTGGTGTGAGAAGACGGATCAGAACCGGTCCGGCGTGTTTTGTGGTTACAGAACTGGCATCATCAGTTCACATCCCAGCCGTGACACTGTCTGCATGGAGTTTGCATGTTCTCATTGTGCTGGTCTGGGTCCTCGCCTTCCTTACATACGGAGAGGACTATTTGTGCCACATTGTATGACGTCTGAGGGTGACTACTGAAGAGACTTTGGAGAACGGGTCACACTGGATTCCTGCACCCCTAGACTGCTTGAGCGTTCAGCTTTAACATGGATTACCTATCAAAGCAAATCCACAGCCCTCCTGTCCTAAGGTGACCGGGCTAACTCACTTCCTGTCCTAGAGGGACACCGCTAACTCACTTCCTGTCCTAGAGGGACGCCGCTAACTCACTTCCTGTCCTAAAGGGACGCCGCTAACTCACTTCCTGTCCTAGAGGGACACCGCTCAAACACTGTACTGTATCTATGGAGGAGCAGTGTTGTTCCCTTAGGACAGGAAGTGTTCGGATTAGAGCCGCTTTTCTCATCCGGGGTGCCTCAAATGTTGTGATGGAAGGACTGTGATGTGAACGGATGTAAAAGGAGGAGGGGCTTCTGATGTGGAAGGGAGAATTCTGAGGCGCGTTCAGTTGCTCAGCCGCTGCGAGTGCGGAATTAGTAAACCGCCATTGAATGCTGCGCTGCGAAGTCGGCACTCGCAGCGGAAGTGAATGTGGATATAGAGCACTGAGTGTGATGGAGAAGGTGGGGGCAGAGCACCAGCGGCCATTTTAACTGTGGGCACACCTGGCAGCACTGAAAAAAAGGCGCCTGAACCCCAAAAGGAGGAAATCAGTTCAGTGTGGGAACCGGCAACTTCATGTTTTAGTGGATGAGCGTGGGGGAATGCGGTCACTGGGGGTGTACGGGGAAGGGGTCTCCCAGTGTACATTGAAGGGGTCATCTCATGGTCTGCACTATACAGGCCGAGTTGTTCACAATAACAGACGTTTTCTCATGTTTGGTGAACAAAAAAAAAAATCTTTATTGACATTAAAACCAGTGCAAAGTGACACGCAGGAAAAGAAACGCATGATACACCTCATTATCAATACCCGACACCAGAATTAAAGACGTCTCTATACATTGGCACCCCTGACACAGCGAACATCCCGGTGTTCATACACGCAGCCACCCAGCACCAGAACCGGAGCCGAGCGCCGCAGCCCCGTCCCACGGACAGCAGAGCGGGGCCGAGTCATGGTTTGGCATCAAGTACGGCCAGTGGTTCTATGGCAGCAAGCGGGGGGAGGGGGGAATGCCGCCATGGACAATGGCCGCTGGTTTGGCGTTTTCTAAAATGTTCTACAGAAAGAACCGGAACAGCCGCTCGCTGCGGGCGCCACTTCCCCTCGGAGCCCCTATTTACTAAGGCAACAAAACTGGGAGGGTCGGCCGGACGCTTTGCTGCATTTTCCGGAACGTTTGTGCAAAAAAAAAAACTCACCGAGACGCGGCAAAGCGACGCAGAAATAAAAGTGGAACCCCCGAGAGGAAAGAACGAAGCGTGAGAGAGAGAGAAGGTCCCTCCTGGGGACACACCGGGCCTGGTGGAGGACCCAACTCCGTGATTCTGAGTGAAATAAAGAGAACCGGTCATGAGTCCAGTGTGACCTCAGGGGGGAGGGGGGAGTGTGAACACGTCCTTGTTGGGTCTCTAACACACACCGGCCATAGAGGAAGGAGTATTCTTGTCCTTCCATCACCTCCATGACATCATTTGTTTTTATCCGTTTAAATGTGAACACAGAGAACGAAAATTAGTTCCAAATCCGAAATTTCGGATGTGTTATATTTCGGAAATTCGGATGCTCCGAATCTACAAAATTTCATCCGAATTTTGATTCGTAACGAAACGCACATGTCTAGCCGAAGATGGAACTAGGGATGCACGAATAACCATCGTTTCTTTCCATAGTCGCCGATACCGAATACCGATACCGGTGCTTCTGCTGGCGTGGAGGCGGCTTCCCGGCCAATCAGGAAGCCGGGAGGCGGATAATGACTCGCCGCACGGCTCCATGCTGATCGCCCGGGAAGCTGACTTCATGTTGTTTGACCGGGAAACCGGCTTCCCAGCCAATCAGCATGGAGCCGGCTGTTCGGCCAATCAGGAAGCTGGGAGACGTGTCATCATTCCCTTGCCCAGCTTCCTGATGCTTCCCAGCCAATCAGCATCGAGCCCGCCTCCCAGGCCAACCGGTAAGCCGGCTCCATATGTCCCCCCCACCCCCCGGCAATGCCAGTTAGAGGACATTTTCCTCCGGGCGGGAGCTCAGGTATCGGGGGAAGGTATCGGAGCATATTTGGTATCAGCACCGATACCAGTATCGGCATCGGCGCCTCCCTAGACGGCACCATGGCGTGTGGTTGCAATATGGAAATGACCCTCCAGGCTGACGGTGGCTGTGATGGAAGGTTGCAGACATGGTCCACCGCAGGGCGGTATGGCGCCGCCTCTATTACAGGAGAGAGCCGGTTTGAGTTTGGG